TACATGCCTTGAAACCAGGCCTGGCTGAAAATGTTAAACTTTTAGAAGAAAACATAGGAGAAAACCTTCATTATGGATTATGAACGACTTCCTAGACATAATGCCCAAAGCAAGATCCCTGAAATTGATAAACTACACTTCATTAAAATGAAAAAATAAACAACTTCTCCTCAAAGAGATTAAGTGAATGAAAAGACAAATCAGAGGTTGGAACATAATGTTTGCTGATAAGAACAATAAATTTTAACATTGCTCATTTGTTACATGCCAGATACCATTTAAGTACTTACTATAATTTGTAGAGAGACCGTATCACATATACTTATTTACCTCTGTGTCTCATAAACATAAAATATGATCATTAACACGCACCTAAACTCATCTTAATAAAAAAGTACTAAGCCAAATTGAGTGTAGACTGTCAGACTTAACTATCTATGCTTTTGTTATCTCCTAAGATTCTTTTTAATCCTTCCCATTTTTCTGACTTTAATCTGAGAAATGCTTTTGAAATTTTACCTATTTCTTACTTAAACATATTCCCTTTGCAAACTCCTGAAATAAGCCATTTCAGATGGCCACTCCTGCCCCGTCATGTTCAGTACATAAAGTCCTCTTCTTATTAACCTTCCCTAAGACTGAGCACACCAACAGGTCACTAGTGTTTCCCAAATGTGTATCAGCAGCCCAAATTCAGCACAAGTAACTATGTGGTTCCTAGTGCCTCATAAAGAAGTTGAATTTGAATTGTGCCTTCGCCCGCTTACTTTGTACTTTGATGCATTTGGTGATCACTAGCTTGCATCTAGTGGAAAACTAAGGCATGGGAACACATGTGTTTCTGTGTGTCTGAACCCGCCCACTTGGATGGAGTCCTGAGAATCATGCCGGCTGAACAGGGCAATCTGCTTGGGTGCCCTTGTTCTGTGTAAACACAGGGGCATTGTGAGCCCTATGTGCCCCCATGTTGCAGTTCAACAAAGGCCTGAGTGGGACTTAGAATGCCCCACAAGACAGATGGCCCTGCAGATATCTTCATCTGGTGTGAAAGGCCTGCAGACCAGCGTTTCCTGCCTGTCTCCTGTAAATGTTCCATGCCAGGTTCCCATTGAAGTAAATACTGAGACTCTAGCACTTCATAGCAGTGAGTTTGGATTAATAGCTCACTTTTACAAGTGCCAGTAAAGCACTCTGTCTTAAAAGGGAGAGCCACAGGCAAGCTGTATGCTCTTCTCTGAGCAATAGTAATAACGAAGTTTTACTCATATTCTAGTAGTTGCTGAATATTCTGTTCTGAACTATCAGGCTCAGGAGCCTTAGACTTTGGCTCTGATGTCATGTATCTCTAAGAACACAAATGCATACATTACACAGACTCTAGAATGCTCTGCTCTGGTTTCACAGGCCATAAAGCCCAAGATCATGTTCCTTAATCCCATTGTGTAACGTTTTATGTAGTACTTTAATTTTTTACCGTCTTCATGCCTTCCGACCTTCCAAATGAGGGCTACCACAGCTGCCTCTGCCTCCTGCATCCACAGGGTTTGGGGATCACATTTGTCCTCTTGATCAGAATACCCCTTTGAACTCTCTGTTCCTGCACAGCCTTTTACCTTTAAACCCTGTCCTCCAACAGTCCCTGAAAGCCTGGTATTTGACACAGATTCCACCCAAGGTGTGGCTCTTGAGATAGAGCAAAAATCCAAAAAGATGAATAATTATTTGGTATCACATATTTAAACTTACATCACCCTTTGATCAAGTTAGCCTACATAAACTTTTGGTGCATACATGTGCTCTAGACATATTAACATAATGAAACTTTTCCAAATAGAGAAAAAATCTTGGTGTTTTAAAAATTTGGATGCAATTTTTAAACTCTAAGAGAAAAAAGAACAAACACCTTTATGGATAACCATTTGCATTATCATCTCTGCTGACCCAGTAGACTGGGACAGAATGATTTTACCAGCTGGGACTCTGTCCCCCAACTATCCTTCTAATATTACAGTATTCCCTCCGTGTATTTATATTAAGAATGTATAAGATTGTGTTTGGGAGAGGAAACCCTTCTGCTGTGCTTTATAATGCTGGCTTTCTTGGCAACTGTGGATGGAAACTGTGCACATAAGCAAATGTCATTTGTCTTCAATAATTAGAGACGGTGGCCTATAAGGACTCTGGGGAGAGGAAGATTGTTTTATTTACCTGCAAAACCAGCCCTGGATAGTTGTTCCTCATTTCATCAGGAAAAGGAACGTGCTGTTGGGAACTGGCACAATGGTCACAATGAACCCTCGCCTTGTACAGGTATGTGAGCTCTAAGAAGCAGAGGAAGAAAAGGAAACCCGAGGGGGGGGTGTAGGAAGAAATGGGGGAATTAGGAAGAAATGAAGCCCACTTTCTCTCTCTTCTCTCCCTTCCCTCCCTCCCTCCCTCCCTCCCTCCCTCCCTCATCTCCTGCCTCTGCTTTCCCATTCCTTCCCCATTTCCCTTTCTCTCCCCTCCTCTCTCTCCCCCCTCTCTGAAAATGAAGGCACTGGTCCATGTCAGGCCCAAGAAGAAAAAAAATTCGTGCGGTAATTCAGTTCCTAGCATGCCTAAAGGTTGGGAGGACATGCAGGGGAAAGCACTCAAAATCCATTTCCCTCGTGGACTGTGAGTTTGATGTCACCTGAAGGGCTCTGCTGTTTCTTGAAGGTGATACACACACATACCCCACATGGTGCACTGAACATTGTGCAATTTCATTCTTGAAGGACTGCTTTTATGTTAAAAACCCAAGGAGAAAACGTCCTTAAAGGAACAGGCCTTGTAACAGGGCGTGGCCCAAGCAGGACCCCACGGACTGGAGATTGTGAATATGAATAATATTCTGTTGCCACACGGGGAGCCTCTGGACTTTTATCCCCTTATTCAAAGTGGGGTGATCTGAAATGCGTGAAGCGGCGCCTTAATGGCGTAAATTAAGTCACAGGTTTGGATTTTACATAAATTGAATTAATATCATATGTTCATAGTGGAATTTTAAACACTACGTGTCCGTGCATTTTTAGTCTACTTTAACGCGCAAAGCTATTGCAGGTCTTTAACCCACTTCCGCGTCTGGATGAGCCAAAGAAAAACCCACCACGATCTTGGATCTTTTTTTAATTTCCATGTCCCTTCATCAGAAACGCGGCATTAATGTCCTTTCTTTTGCTAAGCTTTAGCACACATATGTATATATGTATGTATATAGATATAGATATATTTCCCCCCTTCCGTTCCATCGTACGGTTTCGACAATTGTGAAAAGACGACCGGTGACACCGAGGGGGGAACGTGGACAAACGAACGAACGTGCTTCTTGTTCAGTGTCTCTGGAATCTCCAGGATGGAGGGATGTGACCCGAGGGTCCCTGGGCTCCCCGCTGTGAAGAGTGACAGAGGACCCGCGAGCAGGGCGCACAGTCCCTCAGCAGCGTCGGCCCAGGGAGAGCACATTCCAGCCGGCACATTCCCCCAGTTCTTCGCAGGAACTTCTCTCTCTTCCCCTCCCTCCGGCACTCTCCATCCTGGCCCGACGCCCACCCAGCTCTCCCTTTCTCAAAGGCCCTCCCCGCGACGCTTACGGAATGGACTGCCCTTCCCATTGGCCCGAGCGTCATTCCCCGAGGTGGCAGAGGCCTTGGGATTGGCTGGTCACTCCCGACCCCCGCCCATCCCCGCACCCGGGTTGCCCGCCTCCCCGCCTCCCAGCCCCGCCCTCGCAGCCTCCCTCGGCGCTGCCACCCGCTCGCCCTGCCCGGCAACGTCCGCCCGGTGCGGCTCCCCGGCCCGCGCGCTAGCCACGCCCCCGGGCGCGCGGCTCTATAAATACGGCTGCGCGGCGGGCCGGGCGGCATCCGAGAGCGGGAGGCGCGGTTGGGAGTCGTTCTCCCGAGCGGGGAGTCGCGGGCTCGGGGAGCGCGGCGGCGGCGGTCCCGCCGAGTCGGAGCTCGGAAGGGAGCCACTCGGGGGACCTGGGTGGGCACTTGGGTTTTCCTTCCGCCGCTTCTGATTTTTCTTGTCTTTTGCTTTGGGCCGTGCGTCGCCCTCGGAGCCCAGAGAGCCGCTTGTCAAAGCTGGGGCGCCCCTCCCGTCGATCGTTGGGGTTCGGGATCGCCGGGTGCCCCGAGCGCGCCGGACGCTCAGGCGAAGGGAGCGCAGCGCACCGCGGGCAAGGACCGGAACTCGGCCGCTCGTCCCCCGGCGGGTCCCAGGGCGCAGGGATGAAGGCGGTGAGCCCGGTGCGCCCCTCGGGCCGCAAGGCGCCGTCGGGCTGCGGCGGGGAACTGGCGCTGCGCTGCCTGGCCGAGCACGGCCACAGCCTGGGGGGCTCGGCGGCGGCGGCGGCTGCAGCGCGCTGCAAGGCGGCCGAGGCGGCGGCGGAGGAGCCGGCGCTCTGCCTGCAGTGCGATATGAACGACTGCTACAGCCGCCTGCGCAGGCTGGTGCCCACCATCCCGCCCAACAAGAAAGTCAGCAAAGTGGAGATCCTGCAGCACGTTATCGACTACATCCTGGACCTGCAGCTGGCGCTGGAGACGCACCCGGCTCTGCTGAGACAGCCGCCGCCTCCCGCGCCGCCGCTGCACCCGGCCGGGGCTTGCCCGGCCGCGCCACCGCGGACCCCGCTCACCGCACTCAACACCGACCCGGTGAGAGGCCCCGGGGCTTCGCGAGGGCGAGGCGGCGGGAGGCGGGTGGTCCCTCTCCTCCCGGGGATGGAGATGCCAACCCCGTCCCGCATCTCGGTGGGGAGCCTCCTGCAGGGTTGGGCGGTCCTGGGTCTGGGAGCCGGAGCCCTGCGCCTCCTGGACTGTCACTTGCAGCGCAGGGGGCTCCTCGGGGGTGCAGGTTGGGGTGGGGACTCTGCGCGCGCCAGCCGGGTTTCCCAGGACCGTGGCGACGGCGTGGTGTGCGCACGCTAACCTCTCCCTCGGTGTTGGGTTGCCGTTCCAGGCCGGCGCCGTGAACCAGCAGGGCGACAGCATTCTGTGCCGCTGAGCCGAGCTGGCCAGGTGAGCGCGCGCGGCCCCTCTCGGGTGGCGGTTCCGCAGGGTCGGCCCTCCCCGGGGGCTGTCGGTGCAGGGCACCGCGGCGATGTTGCCGCCCCCCTCCGCCCCCCAGCATTTCCCGAGCGTCCACTCCCCCAGGAAGCCGCCGCCTCCTCTCCCTGCCACCCAGGCAAATCCTTCCCTACTTCTCTCTCCAACTCGGGGGTGACGCTCGGCGGAGGCTTGTCAACCTTGTCCCCGTCGTTCACTCTGTGACCCTCGGGCCCTGCTGGTCCTACCTACCCCGGAGGGAGGGCACCCTCGTGGGCCTGGAATCTGCCCGAAAGTCCCGCGCCCCCACCCCCACCCCCGAGCACCCTGATACCCACCAAGAGGGAGGTGGGCTGCGCGCCCCGCGGCGGGTCCTCTCTCCTGCCTCTCCCCTGCCCGCATTTGCCCGGCCGGGCCGAGGGCTGCGAGTGCTGTCTGACCCGGTGGTTTGTTTTGGGTTGTTGATCAAGCATGTCTTGAGTTTGGTCGGTGGCGCCAGTCAGTCTGCAGCTAGAAGCCTCACCTCCCCCCCCCCCCCCCCACCCCATTCATGCCTCCTCCACAGGTGTGCAGCCGCCTGAGCCCGAGCCAGGAGCACTGGAGAGGGAGGGCAACAGAAGTTAGAGAAAAAAGCCACCAGAAGAAAAAAAAAAGAGAGAAAGAAACAAAAACTTCAGCAAATCTAGAAACGTTTTCACTCATCATTCCAGGACAGTAAAGAATAAGAAAACTTTGATTTAGTTTTTAAATTTTTTGCACGTTCATAAGCATTCTCCGTACGTATCTCTTTTGTTTCTGTTTCTTCACCTCTAGCCGCTGTGAACTGTATGTACGTTTCTGTGGGTTCTTTTTTTCTTTTTTGGGAGGTGCAGTAAAGTTAAGCAAGTGTGACAGGACAGTTAAATAGAGGATCGATAGTGAATCCGACTTTAGAAGGCTACGTTTGTGAGCCGGGAGCTCAGTTTTTGCTTTTTAAAGCTTTACTAATATACCAGAGCATTGTAGATATTTTCTTTCACATCTATTGTTTAAAATAGATGATTATAACAGGGCAGGGAAGTTTTCTCTGCAAGAATGTTACATATTGTATAGATGACTGAGTGACATTTCATACCGTGTATATAGAGAAATGTTCTCTAAGTGTGAGAAAGTATATGCGCTTTAATAGACTACTGTAATTATAAGATATTTTTAATTAAATATTTTTTGTAAATATTATGTGTGTGTTTTTTTAATCTATGGGAATATTTCTTTTGAAAAATTATTTTTCCAGCTCACTTGCAGAGCTCTTGATACCTTGACTGTCTTTTCTGTTTGGCCAGGCGGTTAGTTTGTTTTCGTTTTGCTCAGTATCTTTGTCTGGGAAGTAACAGTTACAGGTACTGGTCTTGCATGACTGCATGAGATGTTTAATCACAAAATAAACTTGTTCTGAGTCCATTCAAATGTGTTTTCTTTAACCTAGATGGAAACCTTTGTATTTGAAGTATACATGTTGAAAATAGACCTTATCAGCTTTTAAGTACAGGGTTTTATAGTGTAATGTATGAAAGAGTAAGTGTTTTTTTTTAACTGAGGTCAAAAATGGATTCTGAAGATTTTTGCACCTAGGGTAGAGACATGCTTGATCTTTAAGGAGTCTAAAAATCTGTTTTAAAGTGGAAAAAAAAAAAATGTCACTCTTGGTTTTACGCTAAAGCATACTGTCATGATGTTTCCTGTCTGTACAGATTACTTAACTCAGTAATGAAAAAATGTTCTCTGCTTGCTACCAAAGGACAAACTCTTGGAAATGGACATTTTCTGCCCTCCTTCCTCCAAAGAACATTAATAGGCATCAGTGGGAGAGAAAATAAAAATAGGCATAATGGCAAATCTTTCAAGCAGGGATAAAAGTCGATCTTCAAACATTAACTTAAGTAGACCAAAAATTCTGATGACCGCATCTATATTATTTTTTTATAAAAGTGATTTTCACTATAGCTATGTCAGTTACCACTAAGCTACTGTTGGATTTCTTGTGCTGTGTAACTTTTACATGTGGAAATTAAAAGTAGATTTATCTGTCTTGTCCTGTGATTTCTGGTGTCATTTCTTTAACACCGTAGAATTTATTTAGGACCCTTCCTTTCCAGGAAAGTAATATTTTCTAGGTGAGATGGGAACTCCATGGTTCAAGAACATTATGCATTTAATGTAATAGGTATTTTACACACCAGTTAGACGGAATTTTTAGAGTGAGAGAATTAAGTAGGATTTAATTGGGTACTTTGTAAATAGCGAACTGTGTGTAAATGTGATCTGTTTGATTTTTAAAAGGAAAGGATTTGTTTCAGATTATACAAGAATAAAAGTATTACAGACCCAAGGGACTCTTTATGAGGTCAAAGTCAAATATTGATATGAATATGAAATACTCGGTCCCTAGTTGTCAGCTGGAGTGGCAATACCCCAATAGGACTGAACAAAATGAATACTGCTAGGTTAAAATCAGTCAGAGGGTTTCTTAAAAGTCTGTCCTGCTAACCTGTCCCTCAGCTCTTTGGTTTCTGGTATTTTTAGAGTTTGATGTTTTTGATGTTGAACCTTATAAAGTCAAAGAACTGACTGCTTTTCTGTGAGATTTATGTTCTTTTTTTTTTTTTTTTTAATGTTTCTCATTCTCGTCACTTGGGAGGAAAACACTAGAACACTGGTGGAATTCCAAATCCAAAGAATTCTAAGGATGGCATTCTTTGTGATTAGAAAGGGCACAATTCCTCCTTTTCTCTGGCAGTTTAATTTCAGTCGGAAGCATGTCACATGCGCGCCCTTCGCTGGGACTGTTCATTTGTCATGCCTGACTGCTGAACCCTACCTAAGCTGTTGGACAGACTTTAAAACTCACACTGCTGGACTCCGAATCTCAAAACAAATGGGTCGATGTTTTCGGTTATGGAAGAGATGCTGCTTCTTAAATCTAGGGCCATGAAAAAACAGTGAAAGAGACGGATTTGGAGCTCTTGTGTTTCTGAAAATTAGTGTTTTCTCCTTGGCTACCGAAGCAGCATTTGACATCTCTTAAAGAAACGAGTTACTGCTCATTAAACGACAACAAATACAGGCCACTGTGTAAGACATTACATTTTATGAATATTTTGTCTATGTTCTGACAAGGCAACCAGATAACAAAAACATTTGAAGTCTTTCACATAGATAGTTCTTTTTATGCAAGTATTTACTTTAACAAAAGAAAATATCCTGACTTGTCTCATTTAATTTATAGAGTTTCACTGTATATACACAACCAAAGAATAAGATTAATTTAAACCCCTGGGAGGAAAATCATCCCTACTATAGAAATCATTCCTAAGGTTGTTATAAAATCCTGCCATCTCAGACATTTTATAGTAAAGGAAAAAAATGTCATTTCAAAGAACGAATACACTTTGATTTTGTATAAGTCATGTTCAACTTCATTGTCAAGCTTTAACTACATATTCAGAACTATAAAAAATTGATTCTCCCCCAAACGTGTTGTATTAGATGCCTCTGTAATAATAAATTAATCTCTGAGAAAAAGGTTCTGAAGTTTGTGGGTTTTTTTTTAATTGACTCTCACTGAGTTATGTGATTTTTCATTATCAAGTGTGGGTCTCTTGATGGATCACCTCCATTATTTACAGTGTTACTATGTGATGAAAAATGTGGTTTAAAAATGGTGATTCAAACCGGAAGAAAATCTAGTTTGAATGAGGAAAGTTTCCCTACTCGGTAGTGTCTGTTGGCACAGAAGCCGAGTTCCTGAAGAAGCAACCAGGTGGTATCCAGGGCAACCTAGACCGCCCCCCCCCCAAAAAAAATTAGAATTAAAAAAAAGCCCCAAACCTAAAGTACATAAGAGACACGAAAAAAATTATTGCACAGTAGTAGAGTCAAATCAAACTGCCTTTGACTTTCTAGTCAGCACATATTAATTACATATATGGTAATCAGCCTATGTAGCCCTTGGGTCTCCAGAGGGCGAGCACCACACCCTCCAGGCTTACAAGAAGGGAAAGCTTCCTACTGATGCTTTGTTGGGCCCAGGAAATTAATTTTCTGCCTCAGAATGAATCTTAGTAGGGCTGCCCTCAGAAGGCATGCTTCAGACCCAGGTGATTTCTTTCAATTACAGCCCATGATGCTTTGCTAAAATACTGGTTTTATTCATTGGAACCATTGCCCACAAGAATGTAAAACTGATTTTACTTACAGCTCTACCAGGAGCAAAATTCAACACATACTTTCAAATATAAAAGACACTGTGCACAGAGGGAACTAATTTACTGAAGGGCGACAACTTTTGATCTCACAGGCCTCATTGGAAACACTCTAAATCTTTCAAAAGTTTTCACGAATGTTTGTGTTGAAGTGCTCCCTTCTTATCCCAGCTCCTAAAACGTTTCTCCTAAGTGCTAAAACTTTGGTCTAGACCATGTTACCAAAGGCTGGCCACACACACCACAAGTAATGTAATTCAAGTAGGGAGGCTATGGAAAGCTTAGTCCTCACAGCCAGTTCACACATTTGACATGAAGAGGTGTAAAAACAAGTTACTTTGAAAAGCTCCTCAGTCCATAAAAAAGTGAACCCCTCAGTTTCTGAGGAAAGGAACAAAATGCTTTAGATAGGCGCTTTCCAAGGGATTACATGCAATTTGGAGGGAAAGGAGATGCCATCATTTGCTTTTAATTATGGTTTCTTGATTTTTCATGATATAAAATGTCGGGTGCCACTTTTGACATGTGTATTAGATTCAAATTTAAAAAAATTTTAGCCTGTATTCCAAATTTAATTTCCAAAGCATTGCAGTCTTATGGTTCTTCATGAGAATCATAAGAATTCATGTTTCTTCATATTCATGTTTCTTAAATATTTACTCCTATATTTAAAATTTTTAAATATTTCAAACATTTGCTTAAATATTTAAGAAATTTTCTTGAGTATTTGCTACTTTCCTCACAAGTTTTAGAGGTCAGTTGAGAGATTATAATTGTGGTTATTTGAACTAAACACAGCCAACAGACAGGAAAGTAACTTCCAAAAGGGCTCATTTTGCTCAAAAAAAGAAGCTATTTATTTTATTCCATTCTCTCCAGTTTTTTTTTTTTTTTTAATGTGTATGCATGTATTGCCTGCATGTAGGTAAATGCACCCATGTCATGCAATGCCTGTGGAGGGCAGAAGAGGCTGTCTGTCGGATCCCGGATCCCCTGAGACTGGAGTTACAGATAGTTGTTAGCTGCCATGTGGGTGCTGGGATTCGAACCTGGGTCTTCTGCAAGAACAACCAGTGTTCTTAACCACTGAGCCATCTCTCCAGCCCCTCTCTCCAGGTTTTAATTTCTAAGATTGTTGATTTCCACAAATTTACAGCCTCTCTCTCTCTCTCTCTCTCTCTCTCTCTCTCTCTCTCCCTTTCTTTTTTCTGTCTCTTCTTTCTTTTTTGCTCTGTTCTAACCAAAAAGGTTATGCTTAAGCATAAACAGGCTTAAGAATATAGAAAACAGATTAATTGATTTTCTATCATGTTTAAAAAATCCTAGCATGTTGCTTGAACCTTGCAGGTAATCTCAAGAAAAGATAAAGAGAAGAGAGATTTTCTCATTTATCTGTCAAAT